AGATAGTAAAATATTCAACTTTAAGGATTGCTAACAGATTCTTGGACCAAAGCTCGAGCCACCCCCAACATGCCTGATTGGATAACAATGCAAAGTACAATGGTCTAACATGTGCAATGCATTGTCTCTCCTTTTTAAAAACTCATTTTACGAAACCCCTTAATTGAATCAGGCTTGAACTTCCTGTGGCATAAAACCAAACAAAATTACACCGATGCTAAAAATGTAAATGTATCCCAGATACCACTGGGTGATGTATTCATGGGAACATTTAAGCCTGAAGACTTGCGTGCACACACTGGGATAATAAAGCAGAGCCCAAGGATCAGGCATCTGAGATATAAACATTTATGGAAACATTTTTAATTCCCTGCTTTCTTAGGATTTTAAAACTAGTTCTGACCTTAGAATACTAGAATGTCAGACCTGGGACGACCTCTAAGAGATCACCGGTAAATGGTAAAAAGGATGCCTGGAGGGGTAAAGCGGCGCACTCACGGGCGCTCAAAGTACAAACAGAGCTGGGGCTGGGTTTGGTTCAACACACCTGGATTAAGCTTCTACGCCGTGCCTACCACTGGTCTGGGCGTTGAAGTCCAAAGGTAGAGAAGAAACAACCACTGCTTTCAAGGTAGCTCCACGTGTTTGGACGTCCAGATCAGCCCTGGTTCTACCTTCTCCCTCATTGCGACGAGACTCCTTGAGCAACGGGAAACTCTCTCTTTAGCAGCACGTGCTTAAGCAACGAGGAAAAAAATCAAGGAATATCTCTCTGTCGCCCTCATCTTGAGGCCTGCTCCCCAAGCAGAGCCCCACACTGAGTCACGGGGGGTTCTGTGAGCTCTGCCCCCAGGAGCTTCACCTTTGTGCTTCCCTTTCCACTGCATGAACTCCTTTTGTATTATTCATTCATGACACATCCATGGATAATGGATGGCTACAGCCTGGTGACACTTCAGCTGATCACAGTCTTCCTGCTTGGCGGCAGGTGACGGGATCTCCTTGGGAGAATGCTTGTACAGAATCCTTACTTTCCTTTTTTTTTTTTTTTCCCCAAAGAGTATAGTGAGCTCACCAAGGAAGAAAATTGCGCAGTGTGATGCTCTCCACCAGCGTGAAGATTTTGGCTCTGATGTTGAGGCCTAGCATCTCTCTTTTGTGGCACTGTTGCCAGGCAGACTTGTTACTGACACAAATTTCCTCCCTGATAAGTGGAGTTCTCGCCCCTCCCAACTTCATCATGCCTGCAGCCGGAGCTCGGCTGCAGAGGAAGCCAAGCCAGACACTCTGATTCACGCTCCTAAAATATCAGCCGGCCCGGGTATGCGAGCGATGCGATAAATCTGGGAAACATAAATCAGATTGTTGGATGCTCTATCTGTCCGTGTGCATAGGCTGCAGCAGGCATGCAGACATGCCCTCCAACTCTTGGGGGGCTGCACCCAGGGGGAGGTGAAAGGTCATGGCTTCAGACCCGGGAAAGGGGACCAGGAGGGCAGCAGCTGACATGCAGAAGCAGCCTTCAAACTGTTGACACACATTTCAGGCCCCCAACCCGAGGCCGAAGTGTTCAGGCTCAGAGATTGTCAGAAGAAGCCGGAGAAGGAAGCCAGAGGAGAGGCCCTGATGTTGCAAATCTTCCAGCGTCAAGAACTTGTACGTCCCTGAGTTTGGACATCAGAGGGAAGGCTGGCTTCCGCTTCCCTAGGGCCCCAGTCACGATGGAAAATCTAATATACAGAACCAAGCGGGTTGGAAGCTTCCTTAAAGAACGCTCTAGAAAAAGCAAACTGACAAGGTCTTTCCTTTGGTGAACAAAGACAAGTGGTTTCCCTGAGCCATTTAGTCATTTCAAAGGCCAGGGGAGAAGGGCCTTGTCCACTTAGCTTAGTTCAGGCCACTTGATCTTACGGTTTCTTGACCTGGGCCCAGAGCAGCGGGCTCATCACAAATGACACTACTCATCTGGGTTGGGATCCTTAGTACAAAGGTAATTTTAAATCTGTATGGAAGTAAAGAGGGTTCATCCCTCAGATTCTTAAGCCTCAGACATTGCTTTGCTCGGGTTTGGTCCTGCTGCATTGGTGGGACTCTGCCCTAAAATCCGATCAGATCCTCTGGGGCTTTGTGCCCGAGGATGCAGGGGAATAACTGGGAGAACAAACAGACAGAGGTGGATGGGGTGGGAGGTGCCACTTCAGAGCCACACTGGATGTAGAGAAGAGGAAATGAAGCGGCAATCAGCGGCCCACTCGGAAGTGTCTAAGAGGTTCATCCTGGGGAGCAAGAAGGACCCAGGAACAGACTAACAGGTGGCAGGCCCAATGGCCCCACAGACATCATGGGATCAGGTGAGGAGCCCAGCCTACCTGTCTCCAGGTGTTCAGGCAAGTGAGATCATTAACGAGCAACAAGTTGAGATACTGAGAAATTAATTGTAGCTTATCTTTTTTTGCCACTCTGATCTATCAACAAAAACAATGAAAAGATAATTTTCCCCTCACCCTTCCAGGAAAAACAGCCAGCGCTTTGTGTTCCCAGACCTGGCTGTCCTGACCCCAGGCAGGGAGTTTCCAGCTCTGTGTGCGGTCACCACCACTCCCTACCTGGGGGAGTTAAAGAGGCTTCCAAGAAGGTAAGGGGGTAGATGTTTTTGTGATTTGTGGATAAGAGAGCATCAGGGCCTGGTCCCCTGAGAGGGGATGGATCTGGAGTTGTGGGATTCTCCACATGACCTGCCCCCTATACTTTGCGCTCTAGCCGTGGCCAGATGGAGGTGGTTGTGGGAGCTCACCGCCATGGGCCTGGGAGCAGCGTGAAGGGTCCTCCAAGGGGGGCCTGGGGACACAGAGAGGAGCCACGAGGGCCATCTTGGCAGTTGCCTGGATAGAAGTGCCCAACAGGAGGCAGGGACCAGCCCAGGGCAGAGGTTTCGGAGAGCGTAAACAGCCCCAGCGACAGGAGTGACCCACACCAATTGACAATAAGGTAGTGAATGAACTGACCTTGCAGATCTTCCAGGTCCAGGATCACAAATCCCTGTATCACATATAATTCTGCATGCTCTCTGTCTCCTTTTCACAAATTGATCTCCCCCCATTCCATGACTCAACTGACACAGCACCCACAGACGTCCAGCTCACAAGCACGCTCCGGTCTCCCCGCTCCCTGGGCCAAGGCAACGGTTGTCCAGCTGTGCACCATTGGCATGCCATCATCCCGAGAGAAGTCCGAGCATACGGGGCTTGGGGGCAGACATGTGCCTCAGATTGGCCAAGTCCGAGATGCTGACAAAACATTACATAAGCTTTTGGATTGAATGAAAAAAAGCGTCTATTCTTTTTGCTGTCAGACTGCAAAACCGACAGCTCCACACCATCAGGCACCAACACGCAGGGAGCCCTTCCCCTGTTGGCACAGGAAGCTCAGGCGGGCTCTGTCTTTCTCTAGAATCACACCGCCAAGCCAGCCAAGGTCTCCACTCTGGACCTGACCCATGGCTGGCTTTCCCTTGATTTCTGAGTTCAGCCGGCTTCCTGGGTCATCTCCGCAGTAAAGGCAACACTGCCACGTGCAGGCCTGAGCTTGTCTTCTCGCCGGCCTTTGCCAGACATGTTCAAAGTCCCAGGATGTCCCATGACAGGGCAGAGGCCTCAGGGGATGGCACTCGTGGGTTGACTGGTTTCCTCATGTCCCAGGCCCCTCCCTCCATCTCTATTCCACTTTCCAGTGTGCCCCCCATGTTCACCCCTTGTTCTCTATTAGTAAACTCCCAAGTGTTTAAACACTTCCTTCTCTGGGAAGCCCCACTAACTACCCAGGCAGAATTCAGTGCCTCTATTGCTACACTTGCCCACAGTTTCATTTCCCTGTGGATTGTAGTTGTTTACTTGTTCTTCTCACTTACCAGATAGCAAATCCTTGGGGAAGAGAAGCCATAGCTTATCAATCTCTGAGTCTTGTGTAATTTGGGTGTAATAAGTTTTTTTCCTTACATCACTTACAAATTCATTTTAAAAGTAATATTTCATAGGAGCATCTGGGTGGCTCAGTCAGTCAAGTGTCTGACTCCTGAGCTCAGCTCAAGTCTCAATCTCAGGGTCGTGAGTTCAAGCCCTGTGTTGAGCTCCACACTGAGCGTGGAGCCTATTTAATTAAAAAAAAAAAGAAAGAAAGAAAGAAAGAGAGAGAGAGAGGGAAACAAGCCATAAGTGACTCTTAATGACAGAGAACAAACTGAGGGTTGATGGAGGGAGGTGTGTGGGGGATGGGCCAGAAGGGTGATGGGCATTAAGGGCGCACTGGTGATGAGCACTGGGTGTTGTATGGGGGCGATGAATCACTGGATTCTACTCCAGAAACCAGTATTGTCCTGTATGTTAATTAACAAAATTTAAATTTAAAAAAACAGTAATACTGTATAGATGGAGAGCCAAACTATAGCAATATCTGGTTTTCAGAAGAGATCACAAGCTATCCAAGTAAAAAATTCTCATAAAGTTGCTTATGGAAAGATAAATTTCTTTTTAAAAAATTATGGTAAAATATACAAAAATTTACCACTTCAAATAACCATTTTAGAGGATACAACTCAGTGGCATTAAGTATATTCACACTACCACCCATCTCCAGAACGTTCTCATCTTTCCCAACTGAAACTCCATACCCATTAAACACTAACTCCCCATTCCCCGTTTCCCCCAGGCCCGGCAACCACCATATTACTTTCTGCCTCTATGAACTTGATACTCTAGGTACCTCATACAAGTGAATCATACAATATTTGTCTTTTTATGAGTGTCTTATTTCACTTAGCATAATGTCCTCAAGATTCATCATGTGCATGTGCCAGAATTTCCCTCCTTTGAAGGCTGAATAATATTTCATCATATGTATATGCCACATTTTGTTTATTCAGTCATCCACTGATAGACCTTTGGGCTGCTTTCATCTCTGCGCTATTGTGAATAAAGCTGCTATAAACATGGGTGTACAAATACCTCTTTGAGACACTGCTTTCGCTTCTTCCAGGGGTAAATCCAGAAGTGGAATTGCTGGATCCTATGGTACTTCTATGTTAATGTTTGGGCAAGCCTCCATACTGTCTTCCACAGTGGCTGCACCAGTTTGCATTCCCTGCAACAACCAAGAATTCTAATTTCTCTGTATCCTTGACAACACTTACTATTTTCTGTTTTTCTTTCTTTTTTCATAGTAACCATCCTAATGGGCATGAAGTAGTAACTCATTGTGGTTTTGATTTACAGTTCCCTATTGATCACTAAAGTTGAGCAAAAATAGATGTTTTTAATATGTTTTTTCAGCTTGAGGGACCTGGGTGACTCAGTTGGTTGGGTGTCCCAACTCTTGATTTCAGCTCAGGTCATGTTGGGGTCATGGGATCATGCTCTACCTCGGGCTCTGTGCTCAGCAGGGAGTTTGCTTCAGGTTCTCTCTCCCTCTCTTTCTGCCCCTCCCCTACTCTCTAAATAAATAATAAAATCTTCAAAAAATATGTCTTTTCAGCTTGTTAAAGAAATATAGCATGTATTATAGAAATGTTCAAAAGTACAGAAACAAAAATTACAGAAAAGTACAGGAATATGCAGGAGGGAAAAAAAAGTATGTGTAATCCAGTTACCTAGGGATAAACACCGTCAACATTTTGGGACCATCCCTCCAGTCTCTTTGTCTATGGAAGTGCATTTTTATGGCAAGAATTCGTCTTCTTATTTAGCAGCTCCCCACCCAGCAGACGCACCCCAGGAAGAAACCTTTCTTTGTTCAGTGAATTATTTGCTAAGTTCCTGAAGGGGTATGCTGGAGGAAAAATGTGTATCGTTGGTTTTGAGTTGATTACCAGGTTTTTGTTTTGCTGAGATGGCATATAACGAAGGGCAGGAGGCAGAGTGCTCGGGCACAGGTCAGGTGGTGATGGTGCTGGTGATGGTGGAAGGGAAGCATGTGGACAGTGAAGACGGACCACTGACACGGGGTGAGAATTTTGGAAGAAAGAACAGGTGTCCATAGAGGAATTTGATTACATTTTCGTCTCCATACAAAATTTACAATAAAATCTGTGTTGCTCACCAGAAGGTAGTGTAGTATATTTGCAAACACGGTCATCATGAAGGTGCCAGAAGGGGAGCATGGCTGCAGAAGAACAAGAACAAATGTTAAAATAGAAGGAGACATAGCTTATATACTTATAGACACGGGCATTTGGAAACTTGGACTGATATGCGCACTGTTCTTGAGCTTTTTCCCATGTAATTTAATAATCTTCTAGAACATTCTTTCTGGGCAAGACTATGAACTAGTTATCAAAAATCTACTTTTTCTTCCTGGCCTCCTTTGCAGTGAGATGTGGTCAGGTGATTGAGTTTGAGCCAAAGGAGAGTGGAAATAGTTTGTACCTCTGGGCCAAAGTTTTTTAAGAAGCAGAGGTGCCCCCTTCATCCTCCTTTCCCTTCTGCCAGCTTGATGAAGATAATGAGCCCTAGGGGATGGGGTAGCCAAAAAGTGGAAGGAAACTCGTTTCCTGAAAAACTAGTGGAACCAAGTGGGAGAGCCAACTGCTGACCAGAAACACTTGCTTCAGATTGTCATGAGAATGAAAAATACATTTTTATTTGTAACAGCATAGTCTGTCCCACCTCATATGCCATCAGTGGATGCAACTTAATTACCCGATATGCTATTGTTAGACAGTTGGAATGGATAAACTGCATTTTGAGGTGCAGAATTGTGTTTCAGTTCAACTGCCCAGTTGTTGGGTGTAGCAGACAAAGTGCTTTTGGCTACAAGTAACAGAAAACCGAATTAAAACTCATGAACAAAGAGGGACTTATTGGCTAACTGGGAGTCCAAAGGGACAGTGAAAGGCTCTGATTGCTACAGCGACATGAGGACTCTCTTTCTTCCTACCTCCCCTCTCTCACACCCAGTGTGGGTTGCCTCCTAGGGCTAACTCCCTGGTGACTGTAGGAGGCCTGGCAGCAGCGAGGTCCACATGCTGCCTTATTCCTATGAAACAGAAAAGATTGCTTGCCACAATCAACTAATAGCAGCTCAAAGCTTTGTGCTTATTGGCTCATCCCTGAACCAAACTCCGTGGCCACCACAATTGGACTGCCCATGGTCCAGACTGATCAGGGCTATACGCTGGAGCTGAAGGTAGGCTTGGGCCCAGCCATACCACATAGCTGTCACCAACGGTGCTTATTTCTATATAGGGACAGAGAGCCTGGATTGTTCAGATACAGAGAAGAAAGTCACCTGATTCTAGCTTTCTCTGAAACAGACTAAAGCTCCTTTGGAGACACTAAATAAAAATCAGGTAATTTCCCCCTTATATGCATTGAAATATGTCTTTGAAAAAATTACTTTCTGCAAAAAAGACAAGAAGATTGAAACCATGAAAGAGGTTGATGATTTAAAGGCAAGGACATAGAGTCAACAACCAGGGGAAAATTAAATGACTTGGAAACAATTCTCAGGAAGAATATTTTATAGGAGGCACTTTTATGGTGGGTTGGCACAAAGTAGAAGAGAAGAGTGGCATATCCTGACATCGTGCGCAGGATACTTAAGTTCGAACTTGTTTCTCAGTCTGTTTCCCTCTCTGTTATTGGAATACTTTGCTCACTTATCAAGCAAATTAAGCATGACTGTCAAGGACACAGTATCTATGCTAAGTTCAGGCTACATATGCTGATCTTGGCTCTTCCTCCAGACAGTGTAAATTCTTTTTCCTGGACATCATACCATGTTCTAGAAATAAAAGAGAGGTAGTTAGGTGAATGCTTTTTGCCTTAGTCTGTATTACTTGTCCTCTAAGACAGGAATTAGAGATGTTTTACTTATTGGTTCAGAGAGGAACTGGGCCAATTATTTTAACGCACACGAAAAATAATTCCTTTCAGCACAGACGCTCTTTGATTGACTTAAAACCCCTGTATGTAAAATCTGCACAAACAAAAGAAATGTGAAAAGATCTGCTATAATAAGATTAAGTTCAAATGACAAGGCAGGTGTTGAATTTAAAATTAATTGGTAATGCCAACCCCAAAATGGTCTAATCCACCTTCTCTGTTGCTCTATAAGGAGAACATAAGCAAGAGAGCCTGTTTTTCTGCCCTAAATCCTTTCTGGTCTTTCCAGTGCAATCCTTAGAATCCAGCTCAATTTCCACTCCTTCCCTGGACTCTTCCTGGACTACTCCAACCCTTGTCTTCAGACTGCTTGGCACTCACTGAAACGGTACCAAAGAATAGGGATTAAAATCTCAGACTGTGATGTCACACCTGCAAGCAACGTAGATCCTCAGTCCGCTCCTGGGACCTGGGGCTCTGCCACTCTGAAAAATGACTGCGAGGATAAAATGAAGTCATGCTTGATGAGAAGCAGTCAATAAATGTCAGCAATTAGTAACATGTTAATATTTTATGGAGAGTCTCCTCCCCCTGGCCTGGAGTAGCACAACATTGGGCAGATAGTATCTGCTCGACCTATCCCTGTTGCACTGGACAGAAGGGAATTGAAAATGTTTTCCAAAGTGGAGGATGGTTGTGGACCGGGTTGGGCAGAAAGGCCAAGGGCTTTTTTTTTTAATATCGAAACCCATTTTTTATATCGAGAGGGCAAGGGTCACACCATTCCAAAATGGGCCTGCAGCGACTACTCCATAAATGTAGCACGAAGCATCTACCAACTCCAGTGACTGAAAGAAACCCCAGGACCACTGCTATGAGAGAGAGAAGTTAAACAGAGGCTGTGAATGTCAACATACTGTTCAAAAGAGCACTGCAAGTCAGAACTTTCTGTTTGATGGCTGGCCAAACAGAAATTGGGGTCTTGTTGGAATTTCACCATGGGCCAAACTCACAAAAATTTTATTTGTTAGATTGTAATGGGTCTGGAGAGGAGAGGAGATGCTTAACATTTTTAAGGGAACAACAGATTTTCAATCACCTAAGAGTCAATAAATAAGCCGCTTACAAAGGATCTTTATGTCTTTGTTAATTGAAACAAATCTGTTAGGCCCCGGAGTGAACAATACAAGCTCACCAGCACTTGTACTTGGCATGATGGAAGTTTATTTCTTTCTCAAACACAAAAGTTGATTGCTTATTCATGGCCAGTGGTAAGAGCCTGGACCAGAAAATAATGTAAACCAGCCTCAAAGCTTTGACTGTTTTCCACTAGGCAAGATCTTGGGAAAGTTACATACTCTCTCCAGGTATCTATTTCCTCATCTGGGAAATGGGAATAATAATTCTCCCTACCTCGAATGGTTGCCATTAAACAAGCCAATCCACGTGAAGAATAAATGCAAGCAATTACAGTAATAATTATTCCACAATTCAGATTTCTTACTATTTTTATTTAGTGCTATCTTCAAGCGCTGTTTAACCACATCTTTGCATGAAACTTGGAGACAGCACTTGGCTGTTTTAAGGAATTTGCATTTTTTTAACCAGTAAATCTTCTGACTGTTGCTCTGTGGATATCAAGACAGATGGTGGAGTGACTTACTACAGTTGCATGCCTAGAACCCAGGTCTCCCTGGGGCAGGCAATCTGCCCAGGTCTCCCCGTCAAGAAACGCTGAGGAGAAGGGTTGTCACTGACACTGTGTAGGAGACAGCAGAATTAGACCCAAAGGTGAGGGAACTTGATATAATTTACAATTGCTTATTTGAGATATCAGCTCCTCTTCCAAACTGAGATGTTTTCCTACCCTCAGCAAAACACACTTCAATTTCTTCTCTGACTTGAGAAAACTTCTATAAATCAAATAACTACCAAATCACCTATGCCCTTGAACCGAATCCGGGAAACCATGAGTTATGATGTTATACACCTAATACAGCAAGAATGAGCTTAAAGTAATGCTCCTTAGAGACCTTTACAGAATAGGTGCTTTTTGTATGTATTCTCAGGTGATGTCATTGGGAAGCGCCAGGAGTTGTGATAGGGATCCTGAGCCCCGATGGACTGCACCTCTCATCTGGGCCCTTGGTGAACAAGGACCCCTCTGTGAGGCCACCCTCCAGGCATTTCCGCTTGTAAAAGGAAGCACAGACACTTGACCTGCACGAGGACTGGAATTCCCATGTCAGCCTCGTTATAAGAAGGCTCTAACTCCATACAGCCCCCGACGGGCCCTAGTGAGCCACCGAAAATGCAGTGAGCAAGGAAGACATGGTGCCGCCCTCTGGGAGCTGACGGTCCAGTGGGAAGGACAGCAGCTAAATTATTGGGAAACCTGAATTAATTACAACTGTAATGAGTACCGTAAAGTACAGAGCAGTACTGAATTTTATACTGGGACCTATGGGGGGGGGCGGTGGAGGGAGGGTTAGGCATGAAATTGAAAACACATTTTTTTTATATTGAAATAAGCACAGATACATGATGTGGAACACAAACTTTGCTTCCGTTTTAAAGATAAAGCTGGGGACAGCTGAGAAATAACCCATTTCCCCAGGGTGGGACTGGCTGTGTCTCCCCAGGGTTCGGGGATGAGGCTTCAAGTAGCTTGGTGTGGCTGAGCAGGCAGTTTGAGTAGCCCTGGCTGGGGCACAAGGGCTTGGTCTCTGAGGGTGAAGCCCTCTGAAGAAATGAGGAGGACCTACAGGCCAGCTGGGGGCAGCCCATGGCCAGGAGATACCTGGCCCAGATTGGCAGCCACCAGCTGGCCACAGCTCTCTTAAAACTCTTCACGCAGCTTTCAGACCGTCTTTCAGACCAGGCTGCCCTTCTTGTTCTAAGTTGTCACCTAATCTTCACTCAGGGTGTGTGTGTGTGTGTGTGTGTGTGTGTGTGTGTGTGTGTGTGTGTGTACGAGAGTCACTCCCCTTTCCTTCTGTATTCTGTGCATCCCTCTCTTTGGGCAACTCTCAACTCGTCTGCTAGTTCTCTGTTTTCAGTCCATCCCCCTGGACACAGCGGGCTCAAAGGCAGCGGCCAGATAATGTCAGCCATGGATGGACCTGGAGGGCAGTATACGAACTGAAATAAGTCAGACAAAGAAAAACAAATACTGTATGATCTCACTTGTATGTGTAATCTAAAAAGCTGAACTCACAGAAACAGACAGTAGAATGGTCGTTGTTAGGGAAAGAAATGGGGAGATGTTGGTCAAAGGGTACAAACTTCCAGTTACCAGAGGAAAAAGTTCTGGGGATCTAATATACAGCATGGTGACTGTAGTTAATACTGTGCTGTATACTTGACAGTTGCTGAAAGTAGATCTTAAATGTTCTCACCACACACACACACACACACACAGAAATTATGTGAGGTGATGGATGTGTTAGCTTCCCTTACTGTGGTGGTTATTATGCAACATATATATATATAGAAAAATCATCATATTGTACAGCTTAAAGTTACATGTCAATTATAACTCAATAAAGCTAGGGGGAAAACCCCAAAAATCAAAATTAAGAGAGAATGTCCAGACTGGAAGCAAATAGAGACACACCTTACAAGCTGTCTCCCTGACAAGTTTTCCGCAGCAGAATCCCCCTATCTGTGACACTCAGACTTCACAGAGCATACATCTCTCTCCAATACAATGTGCTTTGGACCAAGATTTATATAGAAAATTTTATTTGTACATCCCATAAATTCAATATAACGTTTTAAACAAACTGGTATGTGTGTGAGATGGGGAGAGTTCTCTAGTTACTTTCCAAATATAATTGGAAGAATATCAGAATCACATGCAGATGTTGTGAAAAGCACTCAGTGTCAACAAAGGGATAGTCAGATATTGATGATACTCGGGTCACATGACTACACACATGCAAATATCTGTGAAAAGTCATATTCACTCTTTGGTCATGAGGAAGCAACCTTCGGTGCAACTGACATGCTAATTTGTTACCCATATTGACATTGTTCTGTATTTTAGGAAATTGGTTGGTAGTGATGAATTGATAGGAGAGGAGCTGCCGTAACATTTCACTCAGTGTCTGGTTTTGAGGAAAGTTCCTGATGGTAAATGAGAATTGGTTGGTAGTGATGAATTGATAGGAGAGGAGCTGCTGTAACATTTCACTCAGTGTCTGGTTTTGAGGAAAGTTCCTGATGGTAAATGAGAAATGCTTGTATTCACAACCAGGAGTACAAAGGATTAACATCGAGAAAATATATCAAATAGCTCGTTCAAATGTGAAGGGAAAAACAACCACTAGAGAATGGGTAAAGAGTGGAAATGGACAACTCACAACAGAAAAAAATGTGAAATTAGACAATAAACGCAAGCAATACTCAACCTCACGGATAAAGAAGGAAACACATTAAATACAATAAAATAATGAACTACCACTTTTAAAATTTATCGTATCAACCAAAAAAAGAAAAAGTTTGATAATATTAAGAGTTGTTGAGGATGTAGGAAATCGGGCTCTTTTCCATTGCTGATGGCTGTGTGTGTTGAAGGCATTTTTTTTCAGATTTTATTTATTTATCTGAGAGAGACAGAGATAGTGACAGAGATAGAGCATGAGCAGGGAGGAGAAGGAGAAGCAGGCTCTCCACTGAGCGGGGAGCCCGATTCGGGACTTGATCCCAGGAACCCAGGATCATGACCTGAGCCGAAGGCAGATGCTTAACCAACTGAGCCACCCAGGCATCCTGATGAAAGCATTTTTTAAGGCAAATTGGCAATGTCTTTTAAAGCTGTCATGTACACATGCTCTACTTTAACAATTCTAGAAAATTGTTACTCAGAAATACACGTGTGCACAAATATACGTGTCTGTATGAGGATAATCATCGGGGCATTATTTATAGGAGCAAACAATTTTGAAAATATCCAAAAGTACACCAACAATGTAAAGATATTACGGCATGAAATGCTGCACAGTTGTTAGAAAGAGCAGGACAGACTTATATGTACTGAAGTGGAAAGGTCGCTGAGACGTATGAAGTGAACAGAGAAAGTTGCAGAGCAATATGCATAATATTCCATGTTTGTGTGTATGTCTCTCCCTATATAAATATAAATAAATAAATGGAGAGAGAGAGACACACAAATACGTAAGAAAATGGACTGAACTGTTGAGAGTAGTTACCTCTGGGAAAGAAGTCATCCTAGGAGGAGGTGGTGATGTGTTCTCATTCACTAAACGTTTCAGTTTCTTTTCTGTGTCACGCTCCTCTCTGTAGGAAGATATATTCCCATGCTGTTGACCTTAGGAATGGCTATATGACTTGCTTTAGTCAGAGAAGTGATGTTGGTCACTTTTGTGCTGAGTTCTGGAAGTCAGGGCACCATTTGCCCTGTCCTTTTCTTTCTGCCACAGGATTGACAATGCTCCAGATAGTTAGGTTTTTCCATCAGCTTTGGTTCTGGAGTGAAGAAGGCAAGAAACACGGCTGCAGGGGACTCAGAGAAAACATGCAGTGTGAATAAGAAATATGCTCTTGTGGCTACAGGCCACTGAGATTCGGGGATGGTTGTTACTATAGTATAATGTGACCTATTCTGACTGATACAAAAAGAGGAAGACTTCTACAGGTTTTTCTCTGTGTGTTTCTCTATTGTCTGAGCATTAAATATGTGTCTGTGTGTGTATATATATATTCATGTATTACTTGTATAAGAAACCAGTTTTAAAAAATTGACATCTTAGCAAAATGACTTACAAATGACTACATGTCAAGGACCTATGGGACTGTTGACAAATAAAAATTGCAAAGTTCAATCCTGGGATTCCAAGGGCAATGTTGAAGCGCCTGCCTGAGACTGGCAGGCCGATACACCATGTGAAACGTGGTAGTTGGACATGTAAGAATTCTTCTTGTGTACTTTGGTGGGGGAGATCAGGGCAGTAAACAGCTACCCACTCAACCACAGGGTCAAAAGCATCCCAATAAACGGTGAGACCACAGTGATTGCTTTTTTTTTTTTTAAGATTGATTTACTTTAGAGAGCGAGAAAGAAAGAGTGCATGAGTGGAGGGAGGGCCAGAGGGAGAGGGAGAGAATCTCAAGCCGACTCCATGCTGAGCACGGAGTTCAACTGCAGGGTTCAACTGCAGGACCCTAAGACCATGACCTGAGCTGAAATCAAGAGTTGGCCACTTAACCAACTGAGCCACTCAGGCGCCGCACAGTGATTATTTTTATAGCTATTGAAAGACACTGTTCTTCAGCAGTAAAGAGAGAGTTACAATTATTGCTGACTCACAGGTGTCTGAATATGTCTGTTTCTTTGGATGTGTCCTGAACACAAAGAATCTGACAACACTGATCCAGAAAAGTCATTGCTTGTAGACGCTTATTTCCTAGTGGCTGCTGTCCCTTTCCAGACTCTCCACACTCACTCAGAGACTGAGCCCCTCCTCTCGGTAGGTACTCTAATTGCAGTCAGCAGTACGGGTACCATCTTTGCTCTCAAACTCACAGCCAAGCTGTGGCAGATCCATTACAAATCTACACCCAGAGGCAGGGCTAACAATAACAGCAGTAGTAACTCTTTCTCAAGGGAGTGGTAGTTTCCAAGCACAGTGCCAGGTATACAATTTCTAAGTCTCAAAAAAGATCCTGCAAGCCAAGTATAACTACCCCTACTTTTTCAGATGAGAAAATGGAAGTTGAGAGAAATTAAGAAATCCTCTTCAGTTCTGACACGCAGTAGATAGGGGTCAGTCTCAAGGTCTTTTTGTTGTCGACAGCAAGTCACCTCCTCTTAAAGGGAGGTATTAATGATAGCTCAGGGCAGGGGGTGGCTAAGCTTCGGATCCGAGCTTTAACATTCCGAGTACTGTGCAGAGATCCAGCCTCTTGCTTCTCCTGGCCTCAGAGAGCAAGGCAGAGCCCTGGTTAGTGGCCAGCCCAGCAATCTGACTTAGGTTAGTTACGGTCAGCATTCCTCCCATTTCTGCCTGTACCCCCTCCTTCTTCTAGTGCTGGAAGTAAACATCTTATTTGCTTGAGGCATGAGGGTGGGGGTGAGGGAAGTCTTCACAATAGCTCTGCTATTGTGCAAAGGATTCTGGAAGAGGCAGATCTAGTTGTGGTGACACTGGGGACCCCAAGGTCCAACCCCTCAAGTCCCTTCTGTGATTGAGGTTAGGGAATTGGTCACAGCTATTTGCCCTCAGCTCGGTACCCTGTTTAACATTCTTCCTGGTTAAGCACTCAGCACAGAGAAATGCCCTAAGAAATCTCACTCAGGTCTGTTCTCAGTTACTTAAGGAAGTTTAACCTGACTGAGGCTATGGCAAGGCTCCCAGTCCCACAACCGCTTTCACATGGGGCTCATTTTCCCACTCAGCTGGAGGGTAGAGACCAGTAAGTGGAGAAGGTTTCACCAGAAGAGCCTAAAAGAGCCTGAAAGACCCCGAACAAGAGGCCTTGGGGATGGTCTCCTTTCCCGGGCTCAGCTCTGGGGCTGAGGGCGCTGGGCTCGGTTGCCCTTGTGTCCACGATTCGACAGGGCCCCCTGAACACCCAGAATAGAGCCAGGAGATGCTTAGCCAGATGAGAGAAATTCTAGACAACCTACAGGAGAGTGGTTCAGCTCCAGACTGTGCACGGAAGTAAAGGAAAAAGACTTGGCCCTGGGGTCAAGCACAGTGCTGAAAGGAGAACAGGAGCTAAGTGTTGAATGAATAAAAACACAAACAAATAAGGTGTACAGGGAAGGACATGCTCATTGGAAAACTCTATATACTGGATGTTTTCACAGTCTTTGGAGGGCCTGCTTTCTAGAAGGCTCATATTGAGGTAAATTCATGTGACCTTCGGTATTGTCTTAGTCAGTTCAGACTGCTATAACAAAATACCACAGTCTGACATTTATTTCTCACAGTTCTGGAGGTTGGAGTCCAAGATCAAGGTGTGGGCTAAGTCAGTCCCTTGTGAGAGCCCTCTTCCTGACTTGCAGATGGCCGCCTTCTCCCTGTGCCTTCACATGAGGGAGGTAAAGAGCTCTGGCCTCTCCACCTCTTCTTATAAAGAGGCCAGTCCCACTGTGGGAGCCTCACCCTCATGACCTTATGTAAACCTAATCACCTCCTGAAGGACCCCTCTTCCAAATACCATCACAATGCAGGTTAGCCATTCTCGTGGAACATAAACATTCAGTCCATAACAGTAGTGTATTAAGATTACATGTTTGGGGGATCTGCTTTTGTACAGAAGTTTGATCACTGAGGTCGAAGGAATTCTAAGACAGCCCCCAAGATTTTTGTCCCCACAATGTGCGTGTCCTGTATAATCTCCTTCCTGGAGATGGGTGGGCCTGACCTAATCAGATGAGCTCCTTAAAAGAGAGTCTAGAGGTCCCAGTTGGAAGAAGGCAGAGAGACTGGAAGCATGAGAAAGATTTTGCTGGGGCCTTGAAGGAACTAACAGCTATGTTGTGAGAGAGCCTGTGGAAGGAGACACATGGTGAGATGTGGGAGACTTCTAGGTCCTGAGGGCAGTGCCCAGAGATAGCCAACAAAAAATGGGAACCTCAGTCCTACAACCAAAGGCAACTAAATTCTGCCCAAAGCTATGTGAGTGCAGAAGAGGACCCCATGCTTCAGATGTGGTTCCTCCTAGCTGACACCTGGATTTCAGCCTCCTGAGACCCGGAGCAGAGAACACAGCCACACCATGACAGGGTTTCTGATCGACAGACCTGAATGATCATAAATCTGCACTGTCTCAAACCAATAAAGTTTACCGTAATTTGTTACACAGCATAGAAAACTAATACAATCTCCTTTCTGCAACAGATCCGTCCACACCGCTGGGTCTCTTTGTCTTAAAAACAGCTTCTATTTGGTTGTTGATTACATTTCCCCCTTATATGAATAAACCACCTCCTTTCCATTTTCGTTTCTACTGGTTCCTTCGGGAATTTACGTAGTAATTAAGATCTGCTGTACACACGCTGTTATTTTTAACACTATTTAACACAGAAAGCTCTATTACCTCCTTCCCAACCTCTACAAAGCATTTCCAGGGCACGCATCTCTGTGAGGCTGCTGTCTTCCTCCTTCTCAACCAGTGTTGGGGGCCCCCAAAGATGAACATTGTGTTTATTACATAACAGTGAGACAGAAGCCCAAACAACCAGCTGCTGGGCTTTTAAATATAGCCGCAGTCTCTTCTGGGCTTGAAGAGCCACTTCAAATGCCTCCTAATTTCAGCAAGTTTCTGGTCTATAGAATAAAAAGTCTAAAAATGGCTCTGAACGTATTTAAGTGTACTCGCAGCCCCCCCCCCCCCCCCCCCGGCAGCTCCGCTGCCGCACACGGGCGAGCCGGGCCCTCGAGGCTCTTGGGCTTTGCGGGCAGCCTCTCAAGGACTGTTGCCCGGGTGTGAGATGCCGTCAGGGGAGAAAACGGGGAAGGCACGGATGTGGAGCCTTTCCAGACTGGCACCACAGTCACGTGACGCAGTGGCAGAGTCTGCCCTCCCTCGGTTCCCTGTTCTCATTGGCCGGACCATTAGCGGTTGTATTCATGCAGAGGACTTTTCGCTGCATTGAGAACCCCCTCGATCTGGTTTCAGAGGAGGCAATGTCCCGGTTGGGGCAATCCATTGAGTAAAGTCTGTGCGGCTTCCTTGGACCACCCCAAGTTGGTTTTATTCTCAGGCACCAACTCCCCCCTTCAGTGCCCCTCACCCCCTGGCTTCACCCCGAATCTCTGGGTTTAGCCTGCGGGAAAAGAGTGCCTCTTTCCTCACTTCCAGACACCTCCTGGGCTGAGTGGCTGGGCTCCTCTCAAATCCACAGTGTGGCCGGGGAGACGGCCCCCACCGTTTGGCCGGGACGGGGGCACGTGTCCACTTTTAGAGCAGGAGCATGACGACACAAGCGCTGCGAGTCAGGGAAGGGTGCGTCCCCAGCAGAAAATCCGCGTGCTGTTACCAGAAGAGGGTGGGATGGATGTTGGGTGGGCCAGAGCACCCGAGGCCCTCCAGCCACCTGCCCTATTCTAAAGCAGGATACGATTGGGAACACTTCAGGCCTGGAGAGGCAATGGGGACCAAAGGATCTCTGCCCCCTCTATGCTTCCACTGAGCCACCCAGAATCCTAGGCGTTTATCCGTCCATGTATATGCACCTCACCCAGCTCACCAGCCCACAAGTAGTATCAAGGTATACATTTATAGCACATTTTTTTCTCTGCCTGGGCGCTCCAATTTCCTCGCACCCTCAAGGTGGTAGGAATTTCTGTGCCCCTGAACTAGATGCAAAAGAAAAGTACCGATTTGTTTTGCCCAATGTTATTTATATTGGGATCTATTTTAAAACCACTCTAATATAGAACAGTACACTTTAAAATGTATCTTAGTGGGATTATCTATTTGATTAATGATACTTAACTCATTTTTATATTTAACCT